CTACCGAGCTCTGCCGAGCTCTACCGAGACCGTTGCCCGGCGCCGATCCTGTGGACCCCGCCCCTACCGGCTATCCTCGCGCTGTTGAGCTACCTCTCGACGTCGCTCTTCTTCAAGCCTTCAGTCTCAACGAACGATATGGGCCGGATTGTGGGAGAGACCCCGGGCGTAGCCACGTCATGATAGACTTCTGCTCTCGGTCGTTGTTCCCTCTCAATTGCATCACACGTGAATCTATGTGGGCTTGTGTCTCTTGATTTCATTTGTTGGGGTGCCAGTGGGTGGCAGTGAGCACTCGATAGGGGTACATCACTCACGTGGCGAGGTAGGACATTCACGCGCACAAGTGTACTGTTCTTCTCACCGAGGTTGCTTGCACATTCAGATAGTGCACCCGAGGACTCGATTGCTACCCTTCGTGATCCACGCGATAGACGTACGCTTCTTTTCGCGTTGCAGTCCATCACCGAAGTCAGCAATGGGTCTTCCAATTCCACAAGTATATATGTGGCAGACGATCACCCTTGGTAGTTCATGCGCTAAGCTGATGTCTACCAGTCGCCTTCGGAGCCCTGGCAAGCAAGCCACTGTGGGCGCTAGACCGGGCGCTGGTTCTGGTGCACTCTTCTGGGTATATGTCCGCTGCAACTTCTTTTCATGCGATTGCTGACACAAGGTGGTCCCCTGCTTCCAGATACGGAACCGCGCGATGCGCACTCTTCTGATCCCAATAGTTTCGCCCTCACAATATGTCCCGACCCTGGTCACTGGGCGCGATCTAGCCTCTCAATACTTTTCGGACCCCTTCGTCTTCGATCGCCGGGTATGAAACACTCTCAAACACTCACCCGAAGTCTGGCCATCCACTGCTTGCCTCGTGGATGAAATCCATCATTCTGTGGTACAATTCACGGAAAGATGCAAGCTTACGCTGCTCGCACTGTATATCAGTACACACTTCCGGTTAGTGGCACATGTGGGGCCGTGTATCTACATTGCGTGCGTTCAAATGACCCGACGTAGAGTCCATCCTGTGGTCATCTCCATCTGGGTGACCGGGCGGCTGCGTACACGATCTACATCGTAACGTCGCTCTCCACTTCCCGTCTGGTCGTATTGGACGTTCAGCAGTCTTTGATGTCTGTCCTTCATATACTCAAGCTCGCCGATGTACAATGCCCAATGAGAGTGCAGCGCGTGTAGTCGCGATTGATGCGGCCGCTTTGCGGCGCTCGCCTCATATCACCGCCTGCCATTCCTTTCCCCAGCCAGGCTTTCCGTCTCTCCCGTTTCCCTTTTCCCGTTTTCCCTCTCATTCTCCGTCGCACCTTTTTCATGTCTTCACTGATCTTACCCTCTGTTCTTATGAGTATTTCTCATCACGGTACTCGCCCGTCTTCACCCGACGTTGGAACTAATG